GGAAAGCAACAGCTGTGCACACAAGCCAAGCAAAATAAGGAATTCATTCACTGCTTCCCATCAGCAGGCAGATGTCCAGTCCCTTCCCGGAAAGCAGGGCCTCAGCACATGCTTAGGAGGACAAATGCCGTCACCACAAACGACCCCTTTCTGCCTGCTTTTCCTGAGCTTTTCTTGCGAAGCGCAGTGTCATATGGTGTGGAATATCCCCTTGGTCAGTTTGGGTCTGCTGTCCAGGCAGTGTCCCCTTCCAGCCCCTTGCCCCACCCCCAGCCTACTGGCCTGGTTTTGGTGTGTGGGGAGGTTGGAGAGAAAGCCATGGTGCTGTGCAAGCGTTGTTCAGCAGTAGCCAAAATGCTGGGGTGTAACCAATGCTGTTTCAGCCCCAGGTACAAAGCACAGCAGTGTATGGGCTGCTGTGAAGAAAGTTAACAGCATTCCAACCAGACCCAGAAGAGAGGGTAATTGTTCCTTAATAGTATAACTGATTACTTTCACAGTCTTTATGTTAAATGCAGAATTTTCCTTCACTAGTTTTCAAAGAAACTATGGAGAGCAGTGTTTCCATTTCTTTACAGTGCTAACTATACAGTTGAGTATATTCTGTAGTAGAATTCAGCTCTTGCTGGTGAGCAAAAGTTGTTGTTCGTGCAATAGGTAGTATTTTAGGTGTGGCTTTTCCTCTTCCAAATGATATGTTACACTTCAGAGTCTTACTGTGGTTTGGCAGTGGCCTACCAGAGCCTGGATTATGACATACTGTGCCAGTACTGCAGTTATATTTATCTCCTTGAGTCTTTCTCCTGCTAACTGGTGTAGACCGTGGGACCTGCTTGAGGAGCTGTACCAGCCCCTGGAAGTACATTACACTAAAGTTATAAAGACTCCGTGAGTTCCCAGATTATCTCTGAGAGCATCCAAGGCAGTGATGCTTTTGTTCTAGATGGAATTTTCAAATGTGCTCAAGAGTTAGGTGTAAAAAAGCTATGGAATACAAGTGATATTTTCCATCTCTTAATCACTGGTGTCTTTGTCAATCCCAATCTTTATCCCATGGCAGGACCTTTTGAATGGAAAGTTGCAGATTCTCTGTCCTTTGTTTGTATAAAACACAATTTCATAGGATAATTTGAGCAATCAAAATAGGTAACTCTGCAAAGCCTCTTGAAATAAAATTCTTCAGGATTGTATATATCATATATAGGGTTAAAAAGTTGGACATAATTGTATGACAATCAAGAAATATGACGACCTTCAGTCGTGTCGTCACTTTATGATCTTTTAGTATGAAGTCCCAGTCTTCCAAAATACAGTTTCTACACTTTTAGCTTCTCAGCAACTGTTTCTGTGTTTTGCACTTATTCAAGACTCAACAGAGCATAAGCAAGAGATGATCACTTAAATACCAGAAATTGTTCTACACTTTGTAAACATCCCTATTCATAAAAATGTCTTCATTAAAATATAACTTTGACTAATTATAATCGCTCTTTTTCGTAGGTCCAACATGACTGTATTACTGATGTGTATCACATTTTCATTTGTTCTAGTGATAATATTTTCTTTTTTTTCCATATCTTGATCAAGGATAATTTTTTAAATTTTTGTTGCAAGCTAGAGCTGCTCTGTCTCTTTATAGCCAAATGTGCATCACTGTGTCATTCCATTTCACTGTTTTCTAGGGTTATGAAGATTGGCTTCGACATAAAGCTGACAATGCCATGAACCAATGCCCTGTTCATTTCATTCAACATGGTAAACTGGTTAGAAAGCAAAGCCGAAAATTAAGAGTAAGTAACTATGACTTAACGGATTTTAGGAGTCAAGCTTTACTTTATGCTTCTTGTAAATCAATTTCTACAGAAATGTAGTGTGATAATGTTTTAGCATTGATTATATTTAATGGAGATTAGACCTACTATAGACTAATTTTTAATTTAATGCCTCTGAATAAAGTACTTTTAGAAGCTAGGTAAGTTTCTGCTTTGTCTTTGCTTTGTGAACTCCTTTCGTAACTGTTCCTTTCATTTTCCTTTTTTTAACTTGGAATTTCACCCATGATTTGTCTCTTGTCTTTTCTTCATATTCCAAATAAAAATAATGAAGTACCATGTAACAGGAATTTGTATTCCGTTAATTACTCTATTGCCCATATTTTCTCAATTTCTCCCCTATTCTTTGCCTTTCAGAGACTGTATTTTGAGCAACTAAATGATAGGAGAGACAGGCTTAGGAAGCATTTGCATGGAAAGGGATATCTGCTGTGTATGAGTAAATGGGTAAAATTCTCTTATCAGTATTGCATGAGAAAACAGAGTAGATCGTATAACAGTAGACCCTTCTGCACCTATAGCCTGTGAAAATTTGATTAAAGAAAGGAAAAAGAGATTTGCTAAGAGATGAGGTATCTTTGTCACAGAACCACAGACTGTTTGAAGTTGGCAGGCACCTCTGGAGGCTATCTGGTTCAACCCCGTGCTTGAGCAGGGACAGCGAGAGCCGGTTGCCCAGGACCATGTCCAGAGAGGTTTTGAATATCTCCAAGGAGGGAGACTGCACAACCTCCCTGGGCAACCTGTGCCAGTGCTCTGTCAGCCTCACGGTGAAGATGAGATGGACCCTCCTGTGTTTCAGGTTGTGCCCACTGCTTCTGGTGCTGTCACTGGGTACCACTGAAAAGAGCCTGGCTCTGTACTCTTGGCACCTTTAGCCGACACAGTGGCAAATGTTGTTAGAACACCTGTTAAATTTTATTGAGAAGATGCTTTTTGCTAGTACTTTTAATTGTTTGGGGCTTTTTTTCTTATTTCTGCCTTTTTTCTTTTGCAAATTGTTTAGATTATTGACTTCTGTTTTAATAGGCTGTTGTATTATAAATTGCTCCTGGCTTGCAGGGTGACTTGCATGCAGTGGTTTACAGAGAGAATTTTGCTAGATTGATTAATTAATACATAATAAGCGTCATTCAGCACTATGATCTGTGAAAATGAAAAGCAAGAGGACTCTGGTCTTTGAGTTTTACCTAATAACTCACTTTCTGATGTGTAAATGTTTTCGGTGACAACTTAAAAAAAACTCCAGACATAGTGGGCATTTTTTCTCATGCTTTGTTCTTGTAGTGACACTTTACTGTCAGGAGGTGTTTGTTCATTAAACTGGCCTCCCAGCTTTCCCTCTGACCAGATTCAATGTTCTGAAGAATTCTGATTATTCCTTTTATGGCATCTGTAGAGGTGATTAAACTTGCAGTAATATCGCTGTGTTTTAGGTAGTTGATAATTAAATCGGTGTTTTCAGTGGTAAAGAGAGCTAGTAAAATCAAAATAGTTATGTGGTGTTCTTACAGTTTGTTCTAGGAATAGGTAGATTGTGTCACCTAACAGTTTATTCAGGATAATTTCCTAACAGTATTTTGTCTGGTTATGGTGAAATCCTCACTTTCAGGGTTTTATTATAATTTATAATGTCACTGCCTTTCATAATTAATGATTTTGTGGAGAAAAGGCACGTCCTCTTAAAGACTCATCTTGGAAGAATAAGGCAATTTAAGCAGTAGTCTGGTCCATCAGGCTCCGCTGCTCTTCGGGATAAAGGCTCTGTATTGTTTCAGGCTGGCTCCAGCCAAGACAGTCACTGCCTCTGGTTCCAAACCTACCCCTTCTCTGCCTCACTAGGTATCTTCACTTCCCTGGGTCTGTTGAATGATACCTAAGAAGTCATTTAATCAAAAGGAAATATAAGAGAATTAATCCCTTTCTAAATTTGAACAGGCCAAGACTTTTTTGTTATTGGTTAAAAGTGCATCTTTTTCTCCCTAGAAATGGAGTAGCCAATTGTTATTATGCTGTTTTAATACATCTCTAATTTTTGTTCAAAGACTGAAAGTCAGTAAACCATACAGCTCCACTGCTGCACTAGGAAGTTACAATTTTCAAAAAGATACCATCATTTACACAAAAAATGGAAAAGATCTTATTGAAGTTTCTGTTAATTTTTCATACCTGATTGTTGCAGGTGTGCTTAGCAACTTGCATTCTCCTGTGCCATATCTAAGTCTGCAGTTTTTCATTGCTACTGGTTAAAAAAAAAAACCTTTTTCATATTTACAAGAAGTTAAACCTCATTTATTATCATCATGCTAGTTCTTCAATACATGTTAGTAAATCTTACCTAAGCTGTCACAATTTTATGTGTTACTGTTGCTGATTGTTATCAGACTACTTTGCTTAACTAGAATTAACTGGCTCCTGCCAACTGGTAAGGATGTTGGAGTTTAGCTTTATAAGTGTATCATGAAAACAACAATTAAGCTGAATCTTATGGTAATGAATTATGACATTGAAGTATATTGAACAGGTGTTGAGCTATACGAAATATTGCAAAAATTACATATTTTGATGGGATTTTAATTGAAACTTTGATATTCTTAAAACATGTACTATATCTTTGCCGTTTGTTCATTTTTTAATATTCCTTTGTGAAAGATGACCTCCAAAAATGTATCAAAGGCTATTTTTCTCGAATGGTTTACAGTAATATTTTGCATTTATAGTTGGCTGTGGCTGGTGACACTCTTTAACACACCATAAGATACTACCTAAGTTTGCATGAATAAAGCTTGATTTGCTCACCTTTAAACATGGATGAAAATAGGACAGACTTCTAGTCATAAATTCTGCTGAAAATGTATCCCATTTTCATTGGCAGACTTGGAATTCTTAGCTTTTTCAGCTATCCCTAATTATAATATTCAGAGCTAGATGCTTCTCCTCAAGAGCCAACTAGAGTAGCTCACATCTCCAGCTGCTTTTGGAATGTTTTGTTGTATTTAGTCTGTAAACAAGGATAGTATTTTCCGTCTCTCAAATAACATTGCAAAACCTAAGAAGACAGTACTTGCAAAGTGGTTATTCTGGGAGGAAAGGTAGTACGCAGGAAACCTCAAGTCATTCCACAAAGTGTAATTCAGTTTTTCAGAGATATTTCTGTAGTTCTTTACTCCTATGGTAAAATCCTAGTGTAAATAAAAATGGATGAATTTTCAAAATACTTGAGTGAACCTAGGTTTTAGTTTTGAAATCTGAGATTTGGGCTGTTACACAAATCATAAACACATTGTATTTTGTTGTGGTTTTCCGCTAGGTTGGAGACATTGTGATGGTAAAAGAAGATGAAACATTCCCATGTGACTTAATATTTCTATCAAGTAGTAGAGGAGACGGAACATGTTTTGTTACAACGGCTAGTTTGGATGGTGAATCCAGTCATAAAGTAATTAAATGTTCTACATTTTCTTTTCAAGGCAAAGTTTGCATGTATTTTTTTGTATGGATCACAATGTGACTTCATGCTTGTATGTGTGAGCAGATGTACTAACTTGTGTAACTTATGTTTCTACCAATTAACTTCATTTCTCTTAAAGTATCATTATTTTATGGGAAGTTTTCAAATGTATTTATTTGTGATTTTGTATGTGTCCAGTGTAGACATGCAGATTACAGAGATAATGCACAAACCTTTTTGTAGTTAAATGATTTCAGTGACCTGATTTGCGAGTACACTGCAAGGTACTTGCATGTAATGTAAGAAGATGCCCAGTTAGGAGCATTTGAACGTGCATCTTACTTGAACTATGAGCTCTTCTGTAAAAGTTAGTAAATCTGTTTTGTGCTGAACTGAAGTATATGTGCAGATTAATGTCTTGTACATCAGTCATTACTTTTTTTATTTACACCTTTTTATTCATTCCAGACTCACTATGCTGTTCAAGATACAAAGGCATTTCACAGTGAACAAGAAATTGATGCACTGCATGCTACCATTGAATGTGAACAACCTCAGCCTGATCTTTATAAGTAAGAAAATAATTCTTACCTGTTTCATTTAAGGTACCCTAATAATACCTTATAAGAATGTCATAATGGAAAGATACTGGCTGCATCTGGCTGGTTAGAGTGGGCCTGAGAGTGAGCTTGAAGTCAGGTTAATCTTCCATCCATGCTCCTTTCCTGCAGGTAATTCACTGATCTGCTGTAGGGCAGTGGTCTCCAAAGGGGCTTGCACAAGACAATGCACTGGGGTGCACGATGAAAATTTTAGAACGTCTATGCCTGTTTATTTTTTTTAATCTAAAAAGTAAGAAAGAAATAAAGCTTTACTAGTAATGTACTTGTTGACACTGGCACTCTTACTCAGTCTGTATGTCAGAGTCCCATGTCACATACATACAGTTTGTGAGGAGTCTCTGGGGAAAGAGAGAGTGTTCTGCAGCGTGGAAAGGTTGTCGGTGCCACCATCACTCGTTCCTTTGCTTTCAGCGTATTGCAAAGTATCGCAGTTTGTCTGCCCATGTAAGTAGATCTAGAGATTTGTTATCTAGTTTTAACTAAAGTAACCCTCACAAAATGGTAAAGTGGCTTAAAATGATTCCCGCAAAGAAACTGCAGATTGACGATAATGCTAACAATGCAAGCACAAGTAAATAACAAGAAAAAGGCAAACGCTTCTGCTCCTGGTACAAGCTCTTGATCAGCCACATTGCAAGGTAAAACCAGTACCAATCTAATCGGATTTAACAAGAAGTCGACCAGAAAAATTTTAAATTGTCAGGGCTATTTGAAATATGGATTTACATCTGCTGTTGTTACCGATGAACGTCACCACATGTACTTTTAGGTATTAGCTAGTGATAGTATGAAGCCATCATGATTAGCAAGACATTTAAAAACTAAGCATCTAGAACATGAAGAACCACCTCTACGGTTTTTTAGCAGTGTTTAAAGTCATGCAATACTCAATATTTTAGAAAAATACAACATTTCATTAAAATTAATGATAGATTTGTAGAAGCCTCTTCTGAGGTTTCTTCCTTGATACTGAAAGACAGAAAGCCACATAGCATTGAGGAAACACTTGTTCTTCCTGCTGCAGTAAAAACAGCAGAAACAATGCACAGAAAACAATATGGTGACAAACTAAAATGCAATCTTTTGTCAGCAAATGCTGTTGGAAGAAGCAGAGAAAATGCTGCTTATTTCTGAGGTATGGAGGTATCTCCGTTCCCTGATCTCAGTGCACAAGGAATGAGAAATAAAGAAAGTATTGGTCTAGAAAACTGATTCCATGAATGGTTTGATCGTTTTTTAAATATCTGGCTTACAAAGTGAATGGTTGGAAGTTGAAGCTCACGCCATTAAAGATGGTGGAATTTGTTGGGACAGCTGTTGACACGTGAATAATGAGAACACGTATTGGTAGACAGCTTCCGTATCTGCTAATTTTTACTTAGCACTTTACCTCTCAGCAGACCACAGTGATGAATCTTTCTTTCCAAAGACACAGGGTGATTTTACATCATGATGAATCATAACAAGCTGTACAATGTCTTTAGATGTGGCTCTGGTGTGTTGTATATTCTCTCAGCAACCAGGTCACTGTTCCTCTGAGCCTGAGAGATTCCCTTCCAGGTTAACAGACCCACCAGCTTCCCACAGTTTCGTCTGCCACTGAAAATCCTAATGTCCTGCTTAATCCCTTTTGATTTGAGGTTATCCACTTGGATCATGTTATTGCAAATACAGTGTACTGGGTCTGGCTGGAATGGAGTAAATTTTCTTCATAGCAGCCCATGTGGTGTGGTGTTTTTGGTTTGTGACTGAAACAGAATAGCACACCAGTGTTTTTGGTATTGCTGAGCAGTGCTTGCACAGTGTCAAGGCTGTCTCTGTGTCTTGCTTTGCCCTTCCAGTGAGGAGACTGGGGGTGGGCAAGAGGCTGGGAGCAGTCACAGCCAGGACGGCTGACCTCAGTTGACCAGGGGGATATTCTGTGCCATATGATGTCATGCTCAGCAGCAAAACGAGGGGGTAGTCTTTCCAAAGTAGCTGTTGCTTGGAGACTGGCTGGGCATCGGTCTGCTTATGGGAGGTGGTGAGTGGTTGCCTTTGTGTCACTTGGGGTTTCTTCCTTCATTTGTTAAACTGTCATTATCTCACTTTTGCTTTGCTGATTCTCTCCCCTGTCCTGCTGGGGAGGGAATGAGCAAGAGGCCGGTGGGTGCTTAGTTGCTATCCAAGCTCAACCCGCCACATACGGATAAAACGTACTCAGAGATATTCAGAGGGAAAATTGCTTATTGGGTTTATGGTTTTGGTTTGGTTTTAACTCAGTTGTAGGATTTGAGTTTTGTAAAGGATAGTAATTACCCGGGCTTACCTCAGATAATTTAGAGAATAAGATTTCTTTGTTATTTATTGCTGATGGGTCTACTTAGAATATTTATTCCTAATTTTATAATCTCTTGCATCTTTTTATATGCAAACTATACACTGGCTTACGGTTCTGTGTATTTTTGTGTTTACACATTTTAAATATATCCGTATGTATCTCTGTGTTCTTGTTTATGTTCTGGATAATTAGAGCATGTTCAGCTGGAAACTGCTCACTCTGATAAATACTTTCTAGAAAATATTTCTCAGTCTATTCTCACATGTATTTTTAAAGGTGAGAGTAATTTGTTATTAAATATGTATGTGTGGTATATATATCTGTATACAGACAGAAGTATATGTTCCTGTAATGTACATTAAAAAACATGAAATAATGGGATATATGCATAAGAACACACGAATTAGCAGTACTGTTAAACTACTTTTATATTTCCCTTGCAGATTTGTTGGTCGCATAAATGTTTACCACGATAGGAATGAGCCTACTGCAAGGTAGGGAAAAATCCAGAGTTTCTACACATTTAAAACATTTTCAGGGTTGAATAAGTATCAGTAATGAGAATTAGCTTTGGTTCACCAACATTGTGCTGCCTAGTCTTATTGAGAGAATATTTTTCTCTTAGAAATTTCCAGACTGTTGTTTCATATATCATAAATATTTCATCTTTTAATCAGATAAAGTATTTTTATGTCTCTATTCAACTTCAATTTTTATTTAACACGTATTTAGTTTGTAAGTGATGTTGATAGGTATTTGATAGTACTTGTACAATATTGCCCCATTAGCATGGGGTCTTGGTAGTGCACTAAACAATATTAATAGTATCATTTGTGTATTTTTCTCATTTTTCTTTTTAGAAATTGAAGAGTGTGAACATGCCAAATACCATCTTTGGTTTTACTAAGGGTGTTTGTACATTTGTCTAAAATGGCCACAATGTTGTGTGTGTTCAGGAGGGCAACATCAGGGAAATGCATTTTGTATGTGGTGTAGAAGATAGCGATTTGTTACCCTGGGTCTGACACCTAGAAGGGTCTGCCTCCTGTGCTAATAGGTGTCATTCTGAAGGGAGTGTGGTGCTTTGAGCAGTCTGTAGTCCAGGACATTCCTTGTCCAGCAAATAGAGAAGAAAAACAAAACAGTACAAAAGAGGCACAAGTCTTCTGTGTTTTCTACCCTAGGATCTTCTGTCTACCAGCAAGGAAGAGACTTGCTGTACCTGATTTTGTTCAGGTCCTTGCCAAAAAAGGGACAAAGCAATAAGAGGGAAAGCTGCTCGCTCGGGTGATATCCTAGACCTCAGCATGTGGGGAGTTATTCCATTCTGGCTAAGTGCCTTCCTAACCTCAGTGTGTCCGTAGATACATGATTTTCTATCACAGTCTACTATGAAAACTGTCCTTTTTGCTTATTTCACTTTAAAGATTTTTTTGTCTAATAAAGTTGGTTGGAAGTGGAGAAAATACCTTTTTAATCTCAACAACAATAGACTGATCTGTGTATAACACATGACAAAAAACCCTGTGTGTTTTAGATGCATTGGTATAAGACTTGAATTGTGAAATTATGAGCTTAATTATAGGCATCTATATTTTTTAATTTCCACTTAAAATCTTTAAGTATGCCTAGTAATTTTGTTACACAAAATAAAAAAGGTTGAGTAAAACTAATTTTCTGTTTTACGTGGCTTCCAAATAAGTCTTCTGTTTCTCTCTAAATGCTTGTCTTTTGCAATACTTAACTTTTGCAGGCCGTTAGGATCTGAAAATCTGCTTCTTAGAGGAGCCACTTTAAAGAATACAGAAAAAATCTTTGGTAAATATTTCTATTGATTATTTAAATGGACCCTGAAGTCATAACCAAACATCAAACAAGGTTACAACCCTACAGTTACTACTGAATGTATGATTTCTATTGAATTGCTTCATTTACAACTTTTTATAAGGTTTACTGTTTCTATAATTGCAGTAAGGTAACTATTAGGAGGAAAGGCTGAGGGAGCTGGGCTTGTTTAGCCTGCAGAAGAGAAGGCTGAGAGGGGCCTTATAAATGCCTATAAATATCTTAAGGGTGGGTGTCAGGAGGCTGGGGCCAGACTCTTTTTAGTGGTGCCCAGCGACAGGACAAGGGGCAATGGGCACAAACTGAAGCACAGGAAGTTCCATCTGAACTTGAGGACTAACTTCTTCACTCTGAGGGTGATGGAGCACAGGAACAGGCTGCCCAGAGGGGTTATGGGGTCTCCTTCTCTGGAGATATTCAAGACCCGCCTGGACAAGGTCCTGTGCAGCCTGCTGTAGGAAGTGCAATGACTATAGAGATTTTTGGGAGGGGGATTTTATAGTTTAGTCTTCAAGGGTTAGTAAAGGTGACTCAACAAGATGACTCAACTTCATGTAAATATATGGCTTTTGAAGAAGCACTGTGAATTAATGTTGTCCCAAAGCAGTTAATGAGCCTGTTGAAAAATTTTAAATCTGCTCATTTGTCAAAACAGACAGATACCCCAACCAGATATAAATGTGGCTGATAAAAAAAAAACACAATCCACCTAAACAGTTCATGATCAAAATTAAATTTTCTGTTCGCTATTGTATTTTGTGTGTATGAATTGTCTTCATTTCATGGAAAACTTTGAAAATTTTGGCAGAAATAGGAAGCACACACAGAGATGTGTTTTTCGGAAATTCTTCAGGAAAGCCTGGTGGGAGTAGTAGTTCCACTGTAACAAGCCACTCTGCTGGTGACAAAAGGGACAAGTATCCAAGTTATATTCTATCATATGTAACTTCTGTACTCTCAAGAAAGAAGAGCATAGATAGCCATGAACTACTTAGCATAAAATACCATAATCTTGCAACTTGTTC